AATTGCTCAGAATTCCCTTGGTTTTGTTGCCTTCTTTTGTTGACAAGCATATTAACACCCTTCATGGCATTCACTTGGCGAGGATTTTGAACTTGTTGCAACTTTGCCTTTGCCAATTGGTTCATAGTAGTTGTAAGCTCAGCTATAGCTTGCCCGTGATCATGTAGTTCCTTCTGCAAATGAAATACCGTGGGGTCACCTTGAGGCACATTGGCTCTACTTTGCCATGCGGAAAAAGTGTTAGCCATCTTGTCAAGTATATCACATGCCTCATCATACGACAGCTTCATAAAGTTGCCCACGGCAAGTTGGTTCACTATGCATTGATTTGTTGTATTGATGCCTCGGTAGAAGGTTTGTTGTATCATAGCCTCTATCATATTATTATTGGGGCATTCTTTCACCATTGTTCTATAACGTTCCCAAATCTCATGCAAAGGTTCTGCGGGCTCTTGCTTGAAAGCCAATATCTCACCACGCAATGCCGCCATATGCCCCGGTGAGAAAAATTTAGTAATGAACTTATCCGCCAACTCATCTCAAGTTGTGATGGAATGGTTGGGAAGTCTCTTGAGCCAATCTAATGCCTTCCCCCGAAGTGAAAATGGGAAAAGCCTCAATCTAAGAGCATCCTTAAACACATTCGTCTACATGCTCCCCCAATAAATATCCACAAACCCCTTGAGATGTTTATAGGCATTTTGATTTGCAACGCCTGTGAAATATCTATGCTGCTCTAGTAAGGTCAACGTCACTTTGGTTATCTAAAAATTGCTCGCTCGGATTCGGGGTGAGACAATAGCACTTGCATATCCTTGGTTCGGAAGTACTCTGGGGGCCACTCTTGGAGGTGGCGGAGGAGGTTCTGGAATATCACTATTCGGATTAGCATTGGTCCTTGAGGTACAAGAGGCACCTCATCTTTCCCGACATCATCTACCTCCTCCCCCGCAATCACATTTCCAAGAGGGTCAGTAGCATTGTTCGCTGCCATTTGCTACCTGAGTTGTGACACAAACAAGTTAGTAACAAAGAAGGAAAGAAGAACAATACACAAAACTAACTAAATAGATAGCCAAAACTGTTAGCTCCCTGACAACGGTGCCAAAAAAGAACGCTGCCTACTCAACACTACTAATTATGTAGCGAGAGAGGGTCGGAGTAGCGCTTACCCGATTTTGGGTCGGGATCGATTTTTACAGAGAGCTAAAATTCGGAATCGAGTATCTATCTAGTTTAGGATTGCGTATGTGCTCCAAATTACACTTTTAATCATTTTTAGGGTTTTCTTTTTTAATTCTACTATTATCAAACTACAAATGGTAAATGCAACTAGATTAAGCTAAGAGTTAATGCTACAGGTTGTTCAAATGGTTTAAAAGGTACTAGGGTAGTAACTTTCGCCTAGGTGGTCAATTGACGGGTACTTGAATCTAAGGCACAATTGACATAGATGGGGAGTATGGTATAACCGTTGCATGATATTACCCATTCTAAACCTCTCGGTGGTTCGAGTGATTTTGCCTGAATTGACTTTCTCAAGACCAATTGGGTATGTAAATTTGCACAAGCAACTAGAGTTCAAGTTGAGTATTACTCTCTCGAGGTTTAACCCTTTAATTGGGGCTATCAATCTCTTGAATACGCCCTAATTCCTTGTTGGACCAATTTCGGAGACTTAGGCTCTCTTTCTCAAGAAGAGCACAAGTCAACTAAACACAAACTAGTGTTTGCAACCACTAATTCAACTATTAACCATGAAATTGGTCCAAATATGAAACACCCATAGTCAATTTAGCCCTAAAATACAAGACCCATCAATTACCCACACTAGGGTTGAGCCACAACCCTAGCTTATGGGTCTAGGTAATCATAATTGAAGAAGAAAAACAATAAATAAATGAAGAACAACTCATATTAATTAATTGCTAAGCTAAATAACAAGATTCAATGATGAAAAGTAGATAAAATTGCCCAAAGTAGCTAAGAATCTCGAACCTACGATTGCAACTGCTTACTTACAATATCTGATACCCTAAAAATGGGAGAAGAAGCTATTTATACTAAGCTGAAAATTCTGGACAAAAATGCCCTTGCGAGGTTAGTGTGGACCGCACAAAATAGTGTGCGGACGCACTAGCGCTTTGATACTGAAAATTTGACTCTTTGAACTCGGGCAGTGCAGATCGCACAGAATGGACTGCGGCCATGGAGGTTTCTAGTGTGGTCCGCACAGAATGGACTGCAGACCGCATTAGCTTGAAAGCTCCAAACTACAACTTCTCTGATTCTTGGCTTTGCGGACCGCACTAAATCGAGTGCGGCCGCATTGCCTTCATTGCGGACCGCACAAATCCTAGTGCGGCCGCATTGCTTCTTCGCCTGGAATTCCACCTCTCTGAATCTCCTAGTGCGGACCGCACAAAGTGGTGTGCGGCCGCACTGGGCCTGTTTTGCCTGAGCTTTGTCTTGTCTTGGGACTTGTGCAAGTTTCACTCCTTTTGAGTTGATCTTTGACATTTTGTCACGTTGTTGATCAAACCTGCAATCAAGTACAACTTGTGAGCCTCTCGGGACTATTTTGTATGAATTTCTAATCAAAACATAAGCAAGAAGGAGCATAAAATGTATCAAAATTCCTAGTTATCAAGCACAGATACCTATTGAGTACGAGTGTTAAGTACCAAGTGCTGAGTGCTGAGTACCGAGTGTTGAGATATTGAGAAAGATTGAGTGACTGTTGCTCTGATTGGATGCTCTTGATGTCATTATTATTGCACTAAGATGCCATATATCACCGTGTGGAAGTTCTCTAAAAGATGTTGCGTTCTGGTTTACTCGAATTTGATATGAGATAGCTAATTTATAGCCTAAATTATCGAAATTGAAAGCATGTATATTTTTCCTATGTAGAAATTACTGAAATTGAACTATAATTGCAGAGCTCGTCACTACTTTCAGTTCTTTATTTAGTCATGTTACTTACTGAGTTGGTTGTACTCACGCTATACCCTGCACTTCGTGTACAGATCCAGGCATTTATGGATGCGGTGGGTGTTGATACTTCGCACAGCTGATTGTTGGAGACTTCGAGGTAGCTGTCCGGTGCTCGCACTCCTTGTTTCTCCCTGCTTATCTTTTTTTTTTGTTGTATTTAGATCCAGACTTTCATAGTCATTATTTTTCTAGACTGGTGATGTATCGATGCTCATGAGCTCAGTGACACCCCGATTTGGAAATTTTCCTCACTTGTGTTTTGAGTTTTACCCCGTTTATGAGAATTATTGTCATTTAAAACTACTTTGATTTAGTTTGTTAACTGTTGGGAAATATTTTGGAAATGTCGGCAGTACCACGTTAGGCGCCATCATGACAGGTTAGGAATTTTGATCGTGACACATATTAAGATAAATTTACAAATCATAGTATCTTTTTTGGTGGTTCTTAATTTTGTAAAGTTTTCAAAGAATCAACTAATACATCAATTTTTGAATAAATACAAAAAATTAAACCGTCAATTCTCATATATACGTTAAACCCTAGTATCTTTTTTGGGATTGGAGAAGTTTTAGAAGTAGCATTATGTAATTAGTCAAATAGAATAATCATACATGGGATCACGTAATCTGGGAAAGCTGTATTTTACATTAAACAAATGCGCTCGTGCCTACGCCTGCCCACGTCTCAGTTATGACCTTCTAAGTTTTAACCATGTGATTTTCTCTACCAAAACTCAGCAAACAAACCAATTTAATTTCACTCGTTTAATTCATGCTGCATTGTTTACTACTATATGTAATAGTTCTATGTTTGAATGTTTAATTCAAACTTATTAAAGACTAGCTAGAAAACACGGTTGTTTAGATTAATTTTCGAGATCCATGTCATGGTCGTCTGTGGTGGTAGTTACAAATTATTCCAGAACTATGTCCAAAAGGAACTGTAAATGCATGTATGAAGATGGATGTACAATTAAACAACATCGACATATTAACGGTGATCACTTCTAACACATGGTGCAATATTATACTTAGAGGATAAAATGGGAGGTCGCATGAGATCAATACTTTAGTCATATCATACGTAGAACTTTACAAAGACCGATTCGTAGATGTATTAATGGTTTGATAATTGAACATGATAAAAAGAAACAAAATAGACCTAAAATCAAATAGAGAAAAATAATCTCGAAAGACTTACAATATCTGGAGATAAATGTATGTTTAGTTAAGACATAGCACAATGTAAGCATTCATATAGGTGACAATAAATTGAGAGGATTAATGCTGTGTTGATGTTGCACAAACTTAGGTCCGTTATTCTTGTCATGAACTTTTTTTTTTTTGTGCACTAAAATTATACTTGTACATTCATGAAGAGTAGACGGTGTGATCTTGAGAATTTTTATGTTTAGAGAATATATACCTAATTAATTTTCTTCAAAGGACATTAGTATGTGAATGAAAAATAGATCTGATTAATAGAACAATATGATTTAAATACTCGATTCCAACTAGTCATATTATGATTGAGACCGATTTAATTGATGATAAACTTAACATTAAGTATAAAGGGATCTTTACGTAAATAGCCGGCCAAATTTATTGTATTTTTTCCTCTAGCTGGTAACATAAATTATATACTGATATACACGATTTTGGGCTAGACCTCCAACTCATGATACTGCCTATGAATATATATCGTAAATTCTTAACTCTTGAGCTGTCTCATTTGGACCATGAATTTTTTTTTCTTTTTAAAATGATAAAATGAAACCAGATGAATCCCATGCCCAATATATTATAACTGAACTACAAAAATGGCTGACAACTTTCCATGTTCGATCCATATGTTATGGCGTTGAATATTCAATATTCATTAAAAAAAAAAAAAAAATCCCTATAGACCAGAAAAAACCATGCAATGCTAGTCTGCACCTGGCTAAATCCCTTTCTATAAATACTCCTCATACTGTCCTTGTAATAGCACAGCATTTTTGAGTGTGTTTACTTGTAAGAGAAACTTCTTCTTGCTATATACAACTTTATTCACGTCCACAGGTCAACCAGAGGTACAATTAAACCTTCATAATCTCTAAAACTTTTATCTTCTTTTTTTCCACCATACTTCTCATATATTCAGTTCTCTGTTATGAATTTTATCTTCCATAGTAAGTTCAAATAATAGAAGAGGCTGCATGTTGGTGGTGTTCCAACAATTCATTAAAGTTTTAGGATATTTTATTTTTGTTCAAATAATTTGGATTTCCTACCGGATAGGCTCACGGTAGAGTGAAGCGCTCAATTCTCCAAACTCAAACTCGACACATTTTAATATTTTGTTTATCGTTAGACATGTTATTATCATTTTTGGACCAAAACTCTTAACTTAGTATGATATATACTATTCGCTTGTTTTTTCTGATAGACCTTATACCATTAAGAGTTTATGTACATTCTTGCTATGTAGTTTTTTTTTATACTTATCAACTTATTATGTGTGACTTTATTCTCACGGCCAATTGACAACTATCTCTCGTGGTTTGCAGGTCAAGAAAATGGCTGAGGAATCATATGAAAACGCCACTAATGGAGGAGCAAAGAAAGAGTTTAACCCGGATGAGAGGATCCGCTCCGGATTCGCTTACTTCAAGACTGAGAAATATGAGTAAGTTATTACTCTGCCGTAAAAGGCATAAAAAGATTGTCCGAATCTTCGGTCTTGAGAGGGGAAAGGAAGTCATTGTAACAGCATTATATATGTTCCAGATGTTCAGGTTTTTATGATAATAGAAATACAAAAGTAAAGATCTGAAATGTGGTTTAGATTTTTTTTTTTCCGAAAAAAAAAACAATATTCTTCTTATTTGAACAGTTTCTTCTAGTCTTTTGCGTAATCTTTTTTTGCCAAAACTAACTTTGTAAATTCAGCATTTCTAACATTTCAACTTGCATTTTCTTTTTGCAGCAAAGATCCCGAGTTGTACGATGAGCTCGCAAAAGATCAAAGCCCAAAGGTAAATAATAATCTATACTATATTAAAAGTATGAATACCCTTAATAAAATGTTGTTCGTCTTTTTACCTTTTAAAAATAAATTTAGTATTTGAAAAAATTATAATTTCAGTTACTTTCCTAATATTTAAGAATTTAAAATCAATTAAATTTTTTTATTCAATCTTTCCTTATTGAATTAGGTCCTAATATTTAGAATTTAAAATTCAATTGAGGTTTTACCTCAAATAAGAAAAGGATCCCTTTTAAAAATAAATAGTACTATTTCATATTATTCTACAACTCTGACAGATCTAATATAATACCTTTATATAGTACGAATGGAATATATAAACAGAAATATAATAGGAAAACCGATTTGATTTGATCAAAGTGGGACTTAATTTGTAGAGGTTTTGAGTTTTGACTCTATTAAATTTGGGTCACGACGTATATAAATTAATTAACCTTTCGAAAGTTCCACAGTGCCATTTTCTTGAAATCTCTCAAGATTCAAACAGAGAGAAGTGAAATGTTATCCCCTCATATTATAACAATTTTTACACCAATAAAGTATTGTTTAATTTTTTTGGTAGTATTTTGTAACATTTTATGCATATGCTGAGTTTCTTCGTTATACAAACTGAGAAGTTGACAACCCTCGTATACATGAGCCAAGCTAAGTCATGTCTATGTTCATTTCATATAAACGAGGTAAGTTTAAAGGTTTTGGAAGGAGATAAAAGCCCTTGATATAAAGATAGATGGGTTCAACTTTAAAAAGCAAACGTGTCACTTATCTAAGACTATATTGATATATACTGGAGCAACTAATAATGGAGCCGAGCCGCTCCCTTGGTTATATTATGTCACATATTATATTTATGTCACATCTTTATATTCAATATTATAGTTAATTAATACTCATTTTCACTTTAGTTTATCATCTATCAAGGTAAATTAGCATAGTTTAGTCTCTATAATTAACTGATTTTTTTCCCTCAGTATATTGACCATTATTGAGGACTTCTATGTGGAAGTTTCTTTTCGTTATTGAGTTAGCTATATAGAATCAATATTCATTTTCAGGACTCATATTTTTGTATTTAAATTTTTTTTACTCATTTAAACAAGATCCACGCGCAACGCACATACTATTGACTATTAATATTAAATAGTTGCACTAGGTTGAGAGTTTATAATTCATTGATCATATACTTAGTTGATGGGGTAATTTTCATAGATCCTATGTGTATTGAAGTACTAGTATCGTTTTAGGATAGAACGATTTAACTTATGTACATCAATAATGGAAAAATAATTATATGGATTGTAGCAAATTTTCTGTTTTAAGCTTATTTTCTAAGCAATTAATTTCACTTCTTCTCATTATCCTTTGGTTGACCTCACAATAACAAATATAAATTTTTTAGTAAAAATCTTGTCCCCGTTTCTCAACATATTTAGGCAATTAATAAATACTTATAATTTCTCATTACAAAATATGCAGTTTTTGGTATTCGCCTGCTCCGACTCCAGAGTGTGCCCATCCCACATACTTAATTTCCAACCAGGGGAGGCTTTTTTGGTTCGTAATATAGCCAACATGGTCCCTCCTTATGACCAGGTAAATTATATTATCATCTCAATTGTATCTTTTTTAAAACCCATGCTAATTAGTAGTCAAAAAATTTGACGGACGTTACTATTTACTTTCTTCAGCCTTGTATCAAAATTAGAACTTAAATTATATTCTTTGTAATGTTTCCGAATATTATCTGAGTTCAGATTAAATATTCTGGAGCTGGGGCATCTATTGAATATGCAATTGTCCACTTAAAGGTTAGTCCTTTTTGACACATCTAACGTCGTTTAATTCTGCAGTGAGGCAGATAACACTTGCTTTCGTTGTTTATACAAAATCGATAATACTTGCTCTCTATATTTGTACAAAAATCAAATATTACTACATGACATGTTCTATTTATATAATCTTTTATCATACAATCATAATTAAGTTAAAAGAAATTCTAATACTTTAAATATTTGAATAATAATGCTTCAATAAATAATACCATCATTCATGTCAAGAAAGAAAAATGAATATCGAATCACAAAATATAAATAAATTTTAAACTCCTATTTCTTTTATATCGAGTACTTGATTGGCTTTTATTTAAGAAAGCTATTTGAATGTTTATTGACACAGATAAACTTTATTTTATTCACGTGCTTGATAGAAATAAAAAAATTATATTACATCTGTTCATAATTTCATGCTTCACTAATTAGAGATTTCTTTCCACACTTATTTTAACTTAAAATTTTTTACGCCTGCATTTTTGTTTTTCTTCCTATCTATTTCTAGTTGTAAATTAAAACTAAGCTTGCATAATAGGTGGAGAATATTTTGGTGATGGGACACAGCTGCTGTGGAGGTATAAAAGGACTCATGTCTATCCCTGATGATGGGTCCATAGACAGGTTGGTTTTTCCTTAGAAGAATTATCCTAAATAGTTGCTCAATCAACTACTTAAATTAAAAATAATTAGCGGTTATGTAATATATGAATAGTTTGTATATTATATTTGTATAACCGTATATAATCAACATATAATTTATACATACTTGCGAGAAAAAGTAAAAGTTAAATCATGCTTCAAACTCCTTTCTCTTCTTTGATGCCTGATAATGATTGAGAGCCAAACTGGACTTATTAACATATGCACATCTTAAAATTCGATTATTAACATATTATGCCAAACTGGTCGCAGTGATTTCATCGAAGAATGGGTCAAAATTTGTTCGATATCAAAGGCAAAGGTAAAGAGTGAACATGGCGACAAGGATTTCGTTGAACAATGTACAATATTGGAGAAGGTAATTAAAGCAGTATACTAATTATTCAACTAGCTATGCTAACTTTTAGTTCAATAATTGAAACTTTACAATTTCGGATACTTAAGAAAATATAAAGTTTAAGATATATATTAAGTTAAATATTTGTGTGACATTGAGCAGGAGGCAGTAAATGAATCACTAGCCAACTTACTGACATATCCATTTGTGAGGGAAGCTGTGATGAACAAAAGCCTTGCTCTGAAAGGTGGACACTACGATTTTGTGAATGGTTCTTTTGAGCTCTGGGATATTGATGAGTTCAACATTAGCCATTCCGGTTCACTCTAATTCTTGCAAAACGGACACTTTTCATGGAACCTACTGTCCACTACTGTTTCAAGTTTCTCTTCCGTTTGTATTTCGATGTAATTGTATTATGGAACCACGTTTGTCCCCGACCCTCCCAGACCCCACTAGTGGGAATGCACTAGATATGTTATTGTTGTTTTGTTTATTGTTGTTGTTGTTATTTGTCACCAAAATAAAAAATTTCTTGGATCTTTGGGTCTTTTGGGCTTATTCTAAGATTTTTCTTGGACAGACACTCATTTCACAATTTTTACTTGAGATTATTTTTGCCACGATTCGGAATCTCCACCGTCGGGATCGTGATGGCGCCTAACATTTCACTTGCTTGGCAAGTCAATATTAGAGATCATTAAGCTAATTCTTAAACTTTTTAGTGATTAACAACAATTAAACCACAACAAATTAAAAAGAGTGCGAAAATCCATAACAATCTTAATATTTATACACAACTACCCAGAATCTGGATTCACAATCCACAAACTTCTAAGATTTAACTACAAGTAATTTGTGTGAAGGAAATACAACTATTTTCGATACAAATGAAACAGTAAAGAGAATGTATAGAAGGGGACGCCAGGGCCTACAGACGCCTACATGACTACCTTGGGTCTCCGATCAGATGAAGTCAACAGCTAACTCAGGATCAACTCGGTCCAGTATCAAAATCTGCACAGAAAGTGCAGAGTGCAGTATCAGGACAACTGACCACATGTACTGGTAAGTATCGAGCCTAACCTCGGCGAAGTAGTGATGAGGCTAAGACAAGACACCTGCAAATAAACCTTTGTAGTATAACAATATATATACCAATAACAGCAATAAAAGAAACAAGACAAGTAATATTTGGAAGGGGACATTCTGAGGGGATCACAAGATAAAGGATCACAGCAGAATTAAGGACTTTGATCAACCGATATAATTAAAACAGATAAGGACAAGTAACCATAACAAAAGAAAGTACACGGCATCACCCTTCGTGCTTTTACTCTCAACCTTACCATATGAATCAAATAGAAACGACACGGCATCACCCTTCGTGCATTAACTCTCTCATAATATGGCACGATATTACCCTTCGTGCATTAACACTCACAACATAACACCGCATCACCCTTCGTGCATTAATACTCACAAAATATAGCATGGCATCACCCTTCGTGCATTAACACTCTCCCGCACCAAAATAAGGAACAATGACAATAGGGAGATTGAAGAATCAAGAACAAGTCTTGTTTCAACATTTGGTTTCACAATATCAACCTCAATTTTGAATCAATACTCAATCAATACAAAAATTCGTAAATATGATAAGAACGATCAACATAACGATAAACTAGTATAAGCATAAGTAAAATGATCATGGAAAGCTACAATTTCATGAATAAGACTCACTCGCATACTATGACTCGATAATAATGCATAGGTACTCGTCACCTCACCTATACGTTGTACTCAACATTCAAACCTGTAGCAAATTGGCAAATAAGACCTAATCCCTCAAGTGAAGGTTAACCACGACACTTACCTCGCTCCCACGGCCAAACTCAAAGCTCAACAATAGCTTTTCCATTCAAACAAGCCTCCGGANGATATATATTAAGTTAAATATTTGTGTGACATTGAGCAGGAGGCAGTAAATGAATCACTAGCCAACTTACTGACATATCCATTTGTGAGGGAAGCTGTGATGAACAAAAGCCTTGCTCTGAAAGGTGGACACTACGATTTTGTGAATGGTTCTTTTGAGCTCTGGGATATTGATGAGTTCAACATTAGCCATTCCGGTTCACTCTAATTCTTGCAAAACGGACACTTTTCATGGAACCTACTGTCCACTACTGTTTCAAGTTTCTCTTCCGTTTGTATTTCGATGTAATTGTATTATGGAACCACGTTTGTCCCCGACCCTCCCAGACCCCACTAGTGGGAATGCACTAGATATGTTATTGTTGTTTTGTTTATTGTTGTTGTTGTTATTTGTCACCAAAATAAAAAATTTCTTGGATCTTTGGGTCTTTTGGGCTTATTCTAAGATTTTTCTTGGACAGACACTCATTTCACAATTTTTACTTGAGATTATTTTTGCCACGATTCGGAATCTCCACCGTCGGGATCGTGATGGCGCCTAACATTTCACTTGCTTGGCAAGTCAATATTAGAGATCATTAAGCTAATTCTTAAACTTTTTAGTGATTAACAACAATTAAACCACAACAAATTAAAAAGAGTGCGAAAATCCATAACAATCTTAATATTTATACACAACTACCCAGAATCTGGATTCACAATCCACAAACTTCTAAGATTTAACTACAAGTAATTTGTGTGAAGGAAATACAACTATTTTCGATACAAATGAAACAGTAAAGAGAATGTATAGAAGGGGACGCCAGGGCCTACAGACGCCTACANGCCTACGTGACTACCTTGGGTCTCCGATCAGATGAAGTCAACAGCTAACTCAGGATCAACTCGGTCCAGTATCAAAATTTGCACAGAAAGTGCAGAGTGCAGTATCAGGACAACTGACCACATGTACTGGTAAGTATCGAGCCTAACCTCGGCGAAGTAGTGATGAGGCTAAGACAAAACACCTGCAAATAAACCTTTGTAGTATAACAATATATATATATACCAATAACAACAATAAAAGAAACAAGACAAGTAATATTTGGAAGGGGACATTCTGAGGGGATCACAAGATAAA